ACTCAGACTGTGTCTGCCCCTGTGTTTTTGCTGTTCAAGGTCATCAATCAGTTCAATGTGGCACTGGCAACACCAACAGGAACCTCTGTGTGTGCTCCCAGCCACGTCTGCCACAACAGGAGAGCACAACACCCCTGGCAGGGCATGGCTGCTCTTCAGCCACTGCCCCTGCCTGAACAGAGGGTTGGGCCTGGTGACCCACTGTGGTCCCTTCCAACCCCACCCATTCTGGGATTCTGGGATTCTGCTTTCTGGGAATGTAGGACTTGGACTGACCAGCCAGGCTGAGCCCAGAGGCAGGTCCCAGACCTGACACAGAAGATCAGCAGATGCAGAGGGACTACCAAAAACCCAGTTTCCTTTGCCTGCCTGCTCCCAGCCTGGGGTGTGAACAAGGAGCAGCAGGCAGGCAGCAGACAAAATAGCTTTCTCCTTCCTTGCACTTCCAACCCTGCCCAATTTTCCAGCTGCAGCCTGTCCCTGATGCCACAAGAGAAGTAGAGGGGAGCCAAAGGGAAAAACAAAAAAGCCCTTTCTGAAGACATCAGGCCAGTTGTACACTGGGAGGGAAAACCCTCACTGATGTGAGACCCCTTCCCATCTGCTCCATGGAGGTGACTGGCCGAGGCAGCGGAGCGTGAGATTTGATTATAATTATTGTCTTAACGCAGAGCTGAAATTGTTCTGAACACATGGAGCTTCTGGGAACAGGCAAGCATCCAAAGTAATCTTTGGGCTGCATACTCAGTGACGAAGAGATGGCATAAACCAACAAACATCACAAAACCCTTTTGAGTCTACTTCCCATGGAGCGGGGTTATCCCTGTCATGCTGCAATTTCACCTCCAGACAGTTCCCACTTTCTGTGCCTTGGCAGACAAGTTGTTTTTCAACAAGGAAAAAAATACATTTATCAAGGGACCATAAACCAGCCCAACCCAATTAAATCAAACCCTGTGGCTGCCGGGCTGCTTCTCTCTGCAGTCAATTCCGATCCGGTGCCTGCCGTGCAAAACCAGCAACACTACGGAATGCAGCAACACAACTAGGACCAAAGCCCAGATCTGTAAAGGTGTTTAAGTGCCAGTTAGACATCTAAATATCTTTGTGGAGTGACATGCAGTTCTTGGGGCAGAAATAGATTTCTTTACAGAGGAGAAACCACCTCTATTCCCAGGAATATTCCTGGGAACTCCTACACGACTCCGGGTTGAGCAACACCTGTAGCTCAGGTTGTGGGAAGCCAGAGGCAGGGGGGGCACAGTGCCTTCCCTGGCCACTCCTTTTTCACTTAAGCTCCAGAAGCTGGAAGCATTTATTACTCTCCTGCTTCTCATTAAATAAGTCCGACTTCCTGGAGGCCGTGCAAAGCTTCCAGCAGTCAGCAGCACACGGCAAATTAGTGCTAACGGGTTTGCTGGAACATTTCACACTCTACATCCTTGGGAAAGACATTTCCAGCAGTCCACACCACATCATCAGCGGATGCTGCTTCTCTGCTGGGTAGTTCCTGGTGGTAGAGCAGAGCTTGGTGAGCACCAGTGGAGATTTTACACAGTAATTGGCCAGTGTGCACAAGGCTTAGGAGTCTGACTGCTGGCACCAGTGAAGCAGGATTTGGCTGCTCCCCCTGAGTTTTGTTAATACCCAGATATGCAAAGGAATCTAAACGGCTTATGATATTCCAGGTGGGCAAAGCACTGCGTAGGGTTGGAGCTCAAAAAAAGTTGATCCAGGAGAATTAGTATTTCTTGCTGCTGCTGTATCCTGCCTAATTCTAACTCCTCAAGGAGTTATTTCACCATAGCATCTGTAAAATGAGCTATGAAATTCCTATTGTGCTGACTTGGCCATGGGTATCCCTGCAAGGGAAATTCACTTCTAACACCCTTCAGAGAAATTCAAGGTTGGAATGGACAGGAACAATCTGCAAGAAGGTTGTGTGGGTACTGCTCTGAGTGGGGAATGAAAGTCCTCCTCAATGTCTCTATGTTAAAGCTTCCTTTTTGTGCCTCTGCAATAATGCATGGCCATATTTCCCTCTTCCAGCGTGTTCCTTCTGAATCACATTTCCTCCTGGCATTTGGAAGAACAAACAGCAATAACAAGTGTGAAACCTCTGCGGCCTCGCCAAGTGTGAACCAGCCTCCCTGCTGGGAAAGGTTCTAGGAAAGGACTTTCTGGACAATAGGAGCAGGCACTGCCAATATTCTGTTCCAATCTTTTTGTCAAGTGCAACGTGTTTTTGTTAATTTTCTGGCTGTGGCAGACCTGTGAGCCCTGCCTGCTGTGCCAGGCTCCTCTCCTGCCCATCCTATGCTGCGCTGATTCACTCAACCTCTGGGTTCTTGCACATCTCTATTACTCAGAGAAAGCCCTGTCCACTGATTGCACATGCTGAGCAGCTTAAAGACATTTTATATCTGATTAATCACTTTATAAGTCTGTCCATGCAAGTATCAGGCCAAATTTCCTCATTCTGTAGGCATAAGAATATATTTTTTTGCTTAGTTCAATAAAACCATTTGTATTCATCTCTACTAATTCCACTATTGTTTTCCCTTGCTCAGCAAGATGTATATTACAGTCTGTTTAATTGTGTGTTTGATCTTTACTACTTAACCAGCTCTATTTATCATTACAATGCATCAGTACATTATAAAGCTTTCAGGCACATTTATCAACATAACAAAGCTCCCACTACAGAAAAGTCCTCCAGGGAAATAAAGCAACAACAACAACAAATACTTCAATGCAATTCACTTAACAGTACAAATATTTGTAATTACAAAAATCTTTAAGAGTGCCTCTTCCATAAATGGCATGTTTTACTTAAAATTGCTTTTATTATGTGACAGTTCCTTCAGTGTATGCAGCTGATGGGTTCCTCAAATTAAAGAAAGTAAGACCAAATTAGCCGTTTTCTCATATATTCCCTTTTGCTAATGTGAAGGCAGAACTCAAGTTCACTGATGTGTTACTGAAAATTCAGTTACCCCTAATAAAATGAATTTAAAACATTTAAAAAACACTAGCATGTGATTAATAACTAATAAATACATTACACTGTGAATGCAATGCTGCAAGCCATGTGGGAACCAAGCCTACAACAATCAATTAACTATTGATTGCAATGCCTGTTAATCATTGATTAACCCTTTATAAATAACAAATACATTACCCTTGCTGTAAACTAGGACCACCAGGTTTTTTTACATGGCTCTTCATGTTTCTCATATCCATCAGAGACACATACATGTCATCAATTTAGTTTAATTTCAGCAAAATATATATTTTTAGATATTTAGCATTCTGGAAAATCTGGTTTTACTTCATTAGCAGGATTTTAGTTTTTTTCTTTTTGTTTTTTTTGCTTTTGCCTTATAGGAAATTATTGCAAACTGAATTGCATCCCAGGAAGTTAGCTGAAACCTGTCATCTCACCTGATCAATCACACTATTAAAACAGAACTCTTTGAAGCCACAAGAACTAAAGGTGAATTCATGAATACAAAACTTAAAATATCAGCACTAAGATTCTGAAGGAAAGTACTCAAAAATTAGCAAATCCAAACCTGTGATGGATTGAGAACATCATGCAGCCACATGAACATTACGATGCTGAAGTGACCAGCATGATGCTGTGTTTTCCACAGGATTGTACAGAGCCTTCCACTCTGAAATCCAGCAGCCTTCTATCAGAAGACCAATGCTCCATTAATAAATGACTGGTCAAAAATCAGTTTAACATCTATTGTTTTTTTTCTAGATCCAAAATATTGGCATTATTATTGTGCCTAATTTTAACACTTAGACTTTAATGTCCAGTCTGGACAGAGACACAGAGAAAGAAAATAAATCAAACACTGCCCATATTTCTCAAAGTTCCAGAACAGGAGATTCCTACCATATTCCAAAACATGGTATTTCAGATCATCATTTTGGGGCTTGCCTTTCCAAGCAAAACCATTGCCAAAGCGGAGGCAGTGAAGATGCCACTGAAGCCACTGCAGGACCCAGGTGTGCAGGGGATGAATTTCACATCCCAGCATCTCTGAAGAACAGGAGCACTACCCAAATCCAGGTAGGATCAGCAGGGCAGTGAGGTGTATGGCTGCAAGGGCATTGTCAGGGCATTGGACAGCAGGGGTAGGACAGGCTTGGATGTGGGAGCATTGTCTGAAGGGAGCCAGCCAAAAGCTCTGCTGTCATCACAGAGAGGGAACTGGAAACTTCCCTGCGAGGGCCCCTGGAAGCTATTGAGAAAGCAAAAAAACCTCCAGCCCCTGATGGAAATCTGTAACTTGAGACATTTCCAGTAGGCTAATGCACAAGGCTGTATTCCACAGAGGACAAAATCTCATAGAGTCAGGACAACAAACTGCATAATCTAGGTCCCAGTTTTGGAAAATGCCAAGGGTGTCTATGTTTCTCCTCTGATTTTCTTTGTTTCGCTTTTTGTTTTTGTTTTCTCATATTTGTGCAGCTAAAAGTGCATTTCTCATATTAGTGCAGCTATTTGGAGGAGGAATTATCCAGCATTCATTTATTCTTTTACAAATAGAAGAAATCATTTACAGAACCCATGTCCTGAACAGATCCCATCTGTAACTGAAGAAGGGAAATGACACCTAAATTGTGACTAACAGGGGAGCCGGTATAGACACAGCCTTTTAACAGTCTCAGTCTCACCAGGCTGTTCAAAATCCCTTCAGCTTCAAAATCTTATTCAAACTCTGGGACACGATGGCAAAATCTGTTGCCAGCCTCGAAGGACCATCACTTAAATAAGAACAGGAACATTTACACACTTTCGAAGGGAAGATGCTCCATGCGCAGTATCTAAACACGCCAAAACAGCTTATAAAAAATACCATTGAGCGAGGCGGCTGAAAGCAGCGGCGGGGAAAGCCCAGGCCGGTTCTCCCGGGGGTTCCAGGCGGCGTTTCCATGCACAAAGTGCATTTTGCCACCTAGCGGCTACCGCGGAGGGACCTCGGTGTCCTTTGTCACCAGCAGCCCCCACCCCTTCCTTGGGAGGGAAACAGCAGAAGGGGACAGCGGAAGATAAAAAAGTAAAGCATGTGTGACAGGAATAAGCCAGATCAGCCGGAGGTGTGATGTTTAGCCGAGAAATCAGTAGAAAAGCTCGGGTAGCACAGCCCGGGCGCTGCAGAGCCAGAGCACCGGCGGCGAGCACGAAGGAATTCTGACATGGAAATTTGAGGAAACAACGAGAAGGGAACTTGAGAAAACAACAGCTCAGCGTCTGAATTCGTTCCTACTGTAAAATGCAGGGGTTGGCATGGGACAAGCTTAGATCATCCTTCACTTCATCCCTTCACTGCGGCCAAAGGTTTGGGCTGGTACCGCAGCAGCTGCCCCTGAATGAGCGGGGAAGGGAAGGGAAGGGAAGGGAAGGGAAGGGAAGGGAAGGTGCGGGAAGGGAAGGTGTGGGAAGGGAAGATTCCATTGCATCCTTCTCCTGGATTTTTGTGTATTTAACTTGCTGAGAAGGTCAGGCAGCAATTTCTATCCCCCAACACATTCAGCCAGGCAAAGGCTATGGCAGGCTGGGCAGGCACTGCAATTCTAAAAGTCCAGACCCCTGGAATGAACGCACTGAAAAAGCATTAAAAAACCCCCAGCATATCACAAACAAAACATTGCCCTTTCTACCCGGAATCTACATCCCCAAAGGCATTTCAGAGGCTGATGGAGCTGAGCCTAAGCAGCTGTTTAGGAGTGCTTCCAACATCTGAAGTTTTAAACCTCACAACAATAGATTTTGGGGGTGAATTATCAGATGTGGATTATCAAAGCAGTTTTTCAAAAATAGCTCTTCAGGCTGGAGAAGTTCCATCCTTCTGTGTCCTCTGGGGAGGGATTTGATGGGGGCTGCATTTATCTGGAGAGAGAGTAGATAAGAGCAGCACAGTCTTCTGGGTGACATTTTATTTCTGCTGTGTGCATCTCCTAAGTAGCAAAGCTACTTTGAAACTAGAAAATTAAAGGATTACAATGAGAGGTTTACTCTGGACACACTCAGATCTGCAGAGAGTCCCTGGTTTGCTCCTCTGTAATCTCAAGCACTTAACTGGGAAAACTCCATACATGAGGAGCTATTCCTCTTAGGATTTAACTTAGGTCACTGAAGGCAAGTACTGAAGACAAGCAGAAGTGAGAGCACAGACAGATGAATCTAGATTTAAGAGCAGCCCCCATATCAAGGCTCAACAGCCTTTTTCAAAGAGAAACTGTGGTCTGTCCTTAGTTCTGAACTCTGCTGTGTCACAGAAACATCACAAACTACTGGGAGCCACTGCAGCTCTCCACTAACAATTAATTGGAGATGAAAACTAAAGAGCTTTGAGGATCACTGACATCACAAACCTTATCCTACTTCCAGCAAAGTTGGATGAAACACATAAAGTCCTCCAAATGATGAGGGGTTCAGTCCAGCCCCCATGTCACCTGGAAAGGAATTCACTGGAATGACACATTTTGCTCCAGGACACATCTAAAAACCCAAGTGGGATATGTGCCACAATCCAAGGGGGCACAGTTTAATACTGCTCTTTGAACAGAATCAAGACTTCTCTTTTTCTGTAAAATAGTATTAGAACTCAGCCACTAGTTACATGATGCAAAACCATGCCTTTTTCCTTTAAATTCATGGAGGTTGAAAACCTCTGAAATGAGCTCTGAGTCACAGTGGAGGTTTCTCACTCTTACCTGTGCTTCTTGCAATATGAGGGCTGTGTCGTGCACTGAAAATGGCTGGTCCACAAGAGGAAAAGAGAAAAAGAAAACTACAGCTGTTCAGGATATGAATACTTGAAAACCTCATTTCAGCCATCAGTTTCAAAGGACAGGCACTCCATGCCAGGAATGGGAAGTGATGACCTTGGAGCTAATTGCAAAGTGCTGTAACTTAAGACACAAAAATCTATCACCCAAACTTCATAACACAATAAACAGATTTCACATACACTAGGCCATGAAAAAACATAAGCAAACAGCAAATTGAACAAAAACTCATATCAAAAACAGGCTGGAAATCCCCTGACCCCATTTTCCCATGGAAACTGCTGGTCCAAATGTGTTACTGGAAAACACCACCAGCAGATTTTTTTTCTGTTGTGGTTTAAGAGCAGTAAAATACATCATGGACTTAACTTTACATGAGGGCTTAACTAAAATCCTACTGAACAGCAGCAGGGACTTAAATGGGATTTACTCTGTGCTTTTAGGTGTGCTGAGGAGGAAGTTTGCTGCTTCCTGAGCTCCCAGGGAAGGGGATAGGCTATAGAGCCAACAGCTGTGTTGGGGGCAACAGGCTCGAGAATTCAATCCATTGCATTGGGCAGGGCATTTTGAAAATGGCTGGAGGGGTTTGGAAACACAAGTCTGGGATGTCAGCTCCTCAGGAGATTTATTTTTAGATGTTGATTTGCTGCCCTAACTCCTAGAGTTTATCCAGGGAGCCAGCTCCGTAAGTTTTTCCCAAACTCCAAAATGTCTCTGTTTACACAGCACAGACAAATAAATAGCACTGTCACAGTGACACACAATTGTCTGCTTCTAATACATCAAACTTGACACATAACAAAAGGTTATTGTGACAATTTCAGCTATAATCTTGCTCCACTTCATTGCTTTAAATCTTTGACCCTTGAAATATTAAATCTTGGGGTTCTTTTTAAACTTCTTTGCTTTATTTCTTGAGCCAGCAACTCCTTATCCTTTTTAGGCAGCATGTGAAAGAAGGGGGTTGATAGGTAAAAGACTGTGTAACAAATATCTTCAAGGGACTGGCATGCTGAGAGAATTATCTGTGTCATCTTGGGCATATCCCAAATGCCTCTAATCATCACAAGGACATACTTTAGTCTGTTTATGGTGGCCATGAAACCATCACGACCCCCCCAAAACAAACAACACTGCTTCAAGAAAACACTCCATTATTGCTCTGAGCAGAAGTGTAAAGGCAAAGGAAAGTGCTGAGATACGAAGAGGCTTATTTGTTTTTGTGGTACAGAAAATGAAGGAAGGAAACTCTAGATGAGGAGCTGCATAAAAAAAGAGAAAAAGACCAGCTGGGTGATCCCAAACCCCAAACAAAAAATGCAATGTATGACTGAGGTGGTGTGCAAGGAGGTCAGCCAAGGACAGCTGAGTTTGTGTCACACCAAAATTCACAGATGGAAAGTGGAACTGGCTTCCAGAAAAGAGAAGAATTCTAGGGGTAACATTCCAGGTCTCCCAAAAGCTAAAAAGAGACAGGGAAGGACAGGAGGCAGATGTTGAGGGGCTGATCTGAAGTGTGAGACCCAGGTAAGGTCCATTCTGCAAGCGGTAGACACACGAAGTGTGCAGATGGTGGATGAAAGGGGCACTCGTGTGATGAGAGCAGGACCACTCAATGTGGAGCTTTGGTACCTGGGCAAAGAAGGACAAAGAGGATTAATTAATTTCCTCGAGCACTTGTGACTTTGAAGGAAAATAGCTTACAGAGGAAATTGGGAAGTTGATGGAGGGAAGAAAACAGCTGAAATACTGAGATCAGAAAGCCTGAAATTCCATCTGCAGAAGATAACCATATTGGACTACGTCACTGAAAAGGGCAAAAATACAGAGCACAAAGAAAGGATGGATAGTGCAATGAAAGCAACTGGAAAAGAAAACAGATGAATAACAGTTTGGAAGATGTGTCACTGACCTCAGTACAAAGGCAATATGGCTAAAATGTGACATGCTCTCCAAATACAAGCCAGGCTACATGACCTCATGTTTAACATGAAACAATAACTGGAATTTAGAGGTAGGGAAAGCCAAATTAAATAAAGCCATTTAAAAATTACAGTGATGGTTATCCCCTATTTAAACAAGCTTTTAAAATAAATAGCAAAAAAAACCCCATCACTTGACATTTTAACATAAATACTAAAAATCTTTCTGAAAGATTTACTGAATTCAAAACATGGTATCAGGTTTAAGGAAGACTCTTAACACATATCACACTTAACAGCTTTACTAAGTGGTCATACAAAATGATCCAGTATTACACTGACCTTAAAACTAATAACTATTTTTTTTTCTTTTTGCAATTTACAAAATAGTAAGGTTGGAGTGGACTGAATAAAGGAAATACTGTCAGTGCTGCCTTTTCCTTCAAGCAGAACAAACACTACTGAAACAAGAGGAGAAACCCTTCAGTCTGAGGCAAGGAGCAAGCTGGGAACAGCTAGACTGCAGCACTCACAGTCATTTGGAAAGCCAGCCTTAATCATTTGAGGTGGAAACTGAACAGGAAAATAAGGCATTTTCTCAAAACAACTCCTCAACCCTGTAATAAGGGGAAAAGGCTCAAGGTTTGTTAAAAAAGAAGGTAAAGTGTTTCATCCTGAATGCAAAAAAAGCCTCTAGTTGTTGGTTTGGTTGCAATCTTGTACAACCTTTCTGGATTGTTTAAATTTAGTTGTGTATTTAAAAAAACAAAACCAAAACAAAACAAACCACCCAAAAACCTAAACACAAAAGCACCAACCTTCAGGACTGAGTCTCAGGACCTCCCTGTTGAGAAAGACTTTTTCCTAACCCCATTTAGGCTGTCACATATCAGCATTTAGTATTTCCCCTTCCTCCACAAGATTTGTTACTTACAGCCATTCCCCCAGTTCAGCCTTCACTTTTAAGCTGAAAATGTCAAATTACTCAAACTTCCTCCGAGTCCTCCACACCATCAGTGATTTTGAGAGCCTGTCTCTGCTACGACTTCAGCTCAATCTTTTGAGCCTGACCAAAATTACCCAGCAAATGTAACAGGTCCTGTGTAACATCTCTGATCCATTCTCAGACCTACCAAAACCTCTGTGCCAGATCAATCTGCCACCACCACACTGCTCCTTCCCACAGCACCAATCCACCAGTCCTACCACGGCTCCTTTTCCTGACAAACCTTGCAACCACCTGACTTTGCATCTGGCACAACTGGCACACTCTTGCACCACACCAAATTCTTGTGCAGCCCCAGAGCCTCCTGCCATCCTGCTGTTGCCTGCAGCCTTTGAGCCAGCAGCATTTTTGTCATGTTTAGCCTCATTCTTTGTCCTGTGATTCGAATAATACCACCAAAAGCAAATCATGCAGGCACTTTGCTCAAACTCCTCTTTCAACACTGCCTCAGGTCACCTGTAGCCTCTGCTGCCATCACCTTCTCCACTCTGCATTTTCCTATTAACTGCATCTTCCGATGTCTACACTTATTTAGCACATCCTTCACCAAATGGAGGAAGATCTCATCACATTTCCACTACCCAACAAAAGCAGTCATAAAAGAGAGAAGGTTGCTCTGCATTAACAGCCTTTTGTTTATTATGGGCCACTTTTCAAATCAGTCATTAACCCCAAATTTGGCTTTTCATTACTTTTCAGACCATAGCCCAAAGTCAACACCCATCAGTCTTGTCACTGCCCCATGGCTCTTCCTTTCTGAAGCAGGAAACTGATTACTTGGCTCCAGTCAGAGCAAAAGAGAACCTCAAACACCAACAGAAAAACATTGGAAACAGCACATTTCAGACTCAAATCCTGCAAAGGTTTGTGCCTGAGCAAGCACAGACAACAAACAGCTCAAATACTTCAGAACTGAGCTCCAAGAAGTACGCACAATAAACACAATTTCTAGTTCAATTATCAATCCACTACAAACAAAATGTACTTACACAAGCCATGTCCAAATGATGCAAGGAACCCTCTCGGTTTTTCCTTGGGAAATGGGGCTGCAAATGTGGCTGTCAGCAGTTCTTGGCAGCCAGATGTTAAATGTTTTATTTTACATATGTTAAAGAAGCAACTTAAGTCTGACAAAGCAGCATCTTAAAATATGAATTACTGAAGAAATATGAAATACTGCTTCAACAGCAGGAGACTGCACTTGTTTTGCAAATTTTTGGCCTCAAAGCTCTTATAAGTGTCTTTTCTGGGACAGCTTGCAGTTTCAGGGCTGTTTTCCATTTCATTTCACAAAGGGAACAGATAGAGTTTTACCGTCAAATAAATTGTAATGGATGACATTTTTAGCTCTGAATGTTCAAGGCAAAAAACTCCCTCTCTTCCACAGAGATAAAATTTCACCTTACATAGTGCTCGCTGCATAGAGACCCACAGATTTCTGAGTTTGGTGATTTGCAGCCTCTTACCCTTTCCTGAACTGAGCTGGAGGCTGCTCTGCAGACCTGCAGGAACAGGGGCCAGAGCTTTCCACAGATCCCATAAAACCCAGCTCACCAACCTTAGGGGCGTGCACTGTTCAGACTAATAGTGAATAAAGAGACAACAGAGCACCAAGGAGGTTCAGCTCCAGGTTCACTTTTGCTCACCACGGATTTCCCTCCTGAAGTAGATAAACTTTTGTTTCTTTTTTAAACTTTTCAGGGATGAAGGACATCTTACCCAGGAGCACAGGAAAGGTCGGAACAGCATCCAGCTGGAATCTAACCTGCCTTGAACACACTTCTGCCTGTGCTCAAAGAAACAAACTCCTTCAATATAGCAAATACAATTACATCCTGCTGCACCCTTCCATCATCACAGAAGCAAATAAAACAATGGACACTTCTCATGTTGGACTTCGGCAAAAGACATTTATTATTATTATTACTGTTGTTGTTGTGTTGCTGTTGTACCTCCTCTGCTCTGCCCACAGTGGTGGCATAAATGCTGTTACCACATTGTAGCTGATGATGCCGGTGTACAAATCAAAATCCATCTTAATTTCAAACTCCATTAGAAACACAGGAAAAAAGATCAACATTTACGAAATGTAAAGGGAAAAATGGTATGGAAAGAAATTTTTTTTTTTTATTTTTCAAGCTTCCAAGACAGTATTACAAACAACAGAGAGCAAAGTAAAGCTAGAAATGAAATACTTGACAGCATCTGTTTAAAAATTACAGCTAAGAAACCTAATAAAAGTTGAATAAACAGTTACTAGAAATAAAAATTTTTACACATATGATATTTGTCTGGGATTTTTATTTCTTTAAAATAATTCATACAAATGGTTACAGTCACAAACATGATTTTAACCAAAAATATTGCTAGCCTACCACATTACCAGGAAGGAATCAATGTAGGCAATGAAATGCTGCTACTTTTCAGTAGTCTAGTGCCTTTTCCAGATACCACCAATAATATATACTTTAACTGGTGACAAAAAGCACAATGCTCGTTTATACAAAACCTCTTTTTTCCTCAAAATCTCTTTGCAAGGTTGTCTTCATTTTGAAATAAGGGAATTCATGCCAAAATTAGGAGAAACTGTTTTTCTTTTGTTTACTAAATTATTCTAAAAAATAAGACAAGCAGGTAGAAAAAACAATGCACTGTGTGGCGTAGAAAGAAAAATGGGAAAAATTCATTGTCCTGAGAAGTTTGCCAACTGCCTCTTTTTTGGGCATGTTTGAAAATATAAAAGAAAGGATTTTTAATCTCAAAACTGGTTTGTTGAATGCCTCCCTTATGTTTTTCCTTGTTGACAGCTAAGCAAACAAACCCTTTTTAATGTTCTAGAAACTGTACACAGACAAGTACATTCATGATATAATTAACTACTAACTTCTCTTGCTTAACAAAGAACCCATAGGACACAGAAACAGTGAATCAGTCCACTGGACAGGGACAAACTACAATTTATACGGAGGAAAAAAATGTTTCCAAATCTTCTTTTTGTCTCCCACCTTTTCCTTTTATACTGTATATTGGACCAGTTTCTAAACCAATAATCGTCTCCTCCTGTAAGTTCATGGTTTTGCCTTTAATCAAAATCCAGGGTTTTGTGTTGTGTTGTTTTCCACGCGCTGCGGTTGAAGTCTCCGATGTTGGGAATGCTGTTGTTGGCTACAATTGGTCGCTCGGGTGGTCTCTATCAGCTTCTGGTTTGACAGTTTGGCCGGGGGAAGGAGCATGGGGCGGGTGGGCTACAGCAGGGAGGCCGTGTGATAGAGACATGGGGTTGGGGACTATTCCTTCTACTGCTGCAGGTATGCCAGTGGAAGCCACGCTTACAACGCCCGGGGGATACCTGCTGGGAGGAGAAAACCAGAGCAGACATTAAAACCAGGAGCTGACTGAGCAGAGCCCACCCTGCCTCCTTCTAGAGCTACAGAGATGCTGCTTTCACTTTCAGACCACTTAGAGGGACAGGGAGTTCAGCTCCATGTGAGATGCCACATGCAAATGCTGCTACACAAAGCACCGGATGCTGTATTTTTACCAAATGAGACATGAAAGTTCTTCAGATTATTTCTTCAGATTTAATAGCAGGAGTAACAACACAGCAAGGGAAACTGCCTTCAAGTTTTGCTGCTCTCAAAGCATAACCTCAGCAAGAAATAATTCCAGCTAGGTCCATGCAATATGTTCTCTATAACTTTTCCCTTTTTTCCTCTTTCATTCTCATGTAGCAATTTCAAATTTTCATTGTTGTGGTTTGAAAAAATATTTATTTACAGTAGCTTTGCAGCCTTAGCTTCCTGGCAGCTCCCCTAAAAAGCCATCACACCCATACACTTGTCAGATGACAAACTCGAGCCTATTGCACCCGAGTAAGTTTTCAGCAGCAAACTTGCCACTGCACTTGTCTGAAGAAGAACCAGTACCAGATACACAGAGGACAAGTGCTTCAGGCAGACTGCAAGAAAGAGAAATGCAAATACTAAATTTATGGATGGTTCTGAAGATTTCTTACTCTACCTGGACAAACATTGACATCTAAATATTTTATGCATTCAATGAAAGAATCACCCTCTGATTCAGCTCAATTTTATAATGGCTCTGATGTCACCAGGCTAAAATAATCTTGCAAATCTATCGTTCCAATTCCAAACTTCAGGTGTAACTGATGAACACTGGTATTTCACAGTGCTGTAAAAAATAGCTACACATGGATTTAATAAACATATGTTCTCTTTTTAGTCAAGTATCTCAACACCTATTTGCAAGTTATGTCACACTGGCCACCTACCACTGACCCTTTACATACCCTCCTCATCATAAAGCTGCACACTCATCCCTCATTTCCCTCATTCTCTCCTGCTGTACTCTGCCCACTCAAGCATCCTGGTGAGACCATTCATTATGCATTTGAAAGCCTGAACACACAAAACTACCACTCACTGCAGCTTTTGCCACCCAAGTATTTACCCAGAGCTACATAGGACAAAAGGCACTTGTCTTGTCAAGCTTTTTTCAAGTATCACATTATTGTGCTGTTGATTTGCTTGTCATCAGAGCTCAATGCATCAGGGAATTTCACCCTGTTTCTGCATCTTTTCCATGGTAATAATATGTGTTTGTGCTGCTCATCCCAAGCTCCCTCAAACTGGAAGAAAATTACTGCAGAACTTAGGCAAGACTCAGGAGAAAAAAGCTGGATGCAAGCACACTGACTTGGTTTTTTTTGCTTCCACCACAGAAACATCCTGGGAACTGCTTTTGGAAATATGGAGCCAGATGGGCTCAGCAGGACTGGCACGGCACAGGGACAACAGGGACACCACACACTGGTCTGGCCATCCTGGGAAGGACTCCTACACACCCAACACTGACTGTAATCTGGGATGGGTAATGAGGCTGTGACTGATCACACCACCTGTAGGCCAGATAACTTTGTTCCCAATTGTACACATATTTACAGGGCTTCCTATGCTAATTCCCTCTCCACTGAGGTTCCTTGGAATTAATTTGCAGTTGCTAATGGAATTAGTTGCTTGTTTCAGTAACTCCATTTGAATCTTATTAATCAAATTTGCTTCAGTTCCTATGAAAACTGTCAGACGGTATTGTTTTACCTAAATTTAATTCAGAAACAGCTTTTCTGTTATTCTAGGTGCTTTGCAAGACACACAACATGACACAAATTTCCATTTAAAAGTCCAACACTGCAGCTGTTCTCAGCAAACAATCTCTGCTTTCTAACAACGTATTCCCAGAGTATCAACACACCAGAGCTGGAAAAAAGTCAAGGAGAGAGCAGCTTCTGAAAACTGTGTTTGGAAGAAGAAAAGTCTGAGCCTCCCCTCGTGAAAATGGACAGTGCTGAATCAGAAGCACAAAGAGTTACCTTATGAGCAGATTAAACATTTCAAACTGCATGGCTGTAATTCTACTCTGACTCCAAATATCCTTTCTGTATTTAAGGACATTCCTTTAGACACCAAGTCATAGCCATCAGGATTCTACTTGCCAACATTTCACCTCAGGTACAGGTTTCCTACAGACTCAAAGTCCAGAGGCCCAACGATTGTTTTTCTTGTCCTAAAGCTACACAGTGGCAGCAGCCAATATACAGCTACCATACTGTTCTACAAAAACTGCATTTTACTTGACAACTCCTAACCCTGCTTTGCAATTCTCTTTTTGTAATTTTTGTCCCATTTTAATCATCAGTGTTGCTCAAATCCTGTCTCTGAAAGGGCACATAAACTCAAGCCTCTATCCATGAGCACATGTGTATTCTATGTAACTTTCCCTTTTGCTGCTATTTATTGCTTTTCTAGTCTTTCAATTTTTTCTATTCTTAACCAGAAAATACATCCTTTCCTGCACTTCATGAAGTTCCTCCTCTGGCAGCAGTAAGTTGAGATGTTTTACAGGTAAAATGTCCACTGAACTAAATTTTTGTGAAAGCAGAAGTGAGCAGTCAGTTACACCTCTTCTGTTAATTCATACTCTTCCATCCCCTTCCCCCATGTAGTCTTAATTTAGGAGGAAAAATACAGCAGCCCTCTTAATTATAACAGATGGGTAACGTTAATTTCTACTTTACTCTCATCTAGCTCTTAAACTGCAGAAGCACCTCGAACTCATTGTGTTAAGCTCTGTTCAAGAAACTGAGTCTGTCCTAGAAGTTCAATTTTTAAGTGCACTGTTATCATGCACTGAGTCTGAAAATCACCAGTGAAGAACGCCAACATAAAATAGCTCTTGAATTACCAACATCCAGCTATTCTCATCCAAGGACCTCTTCAGTACTTAGGTATTCACAGAATCATGGAATGGTTTGGGATGGAAGGGACCTTAAAGATCATCTTGTTCCCACTTCCTGACATGGGCAGGAACACCTTCCACTAGACCAGATTGCTCAGAGCCCCATCCAGCCTTATCCTCTACCTGTTAGGAGGCAGGAAGATGTGTGGAAATGTCTGTAAGTGGTACAAGCACTGTTAGTGGCTGCTGAATTTCTCTGTGTCTATGACCTCCTGCTCTGTGACACAGGAATAACACAGGGAGTTAATTCACAGGCAGCTTGGTAACAAATACACGGCAGCAACGCAAGATCAGGGTACGTTATGCTGCTTCACCAAGACCACGACAAATAATTCCTTCTCAGGAGTGTTGCTGATCTTTACTCATTGGATAGGTCCTGCTTTCATGACCTTTGGTGGTGATATAGTCTTGCACTTTGCATGGTAAATGGATTTGTTTTTTCCAGAATATGATGATATTCAGATGACCTAGATTACAATCTGCTGACTAATGCTCAATGTTCTTGGCTTGCGATAATATCTGATAATTTGAGATTTCTGTCCTACATCAAAATACAAAAGAATTATACATCCAGAATAAAACAGCCTTATTAGTTTCAGTTCACCAAAAGAGGTATCTGCATTTTTTAACATATAAATTATTATCCCAGGTCTTATCTTCTAATGCAATTACATGAGTATGATACAGTTATTAGCACATCTGGAACATCATACATAGTCTGTGAAAGACTCCAGAACTCACTTAGCTCAACATAATCTTGGGTTGCAAAGAAAAGATGGAAAAATTTGGTTTGAACAATCAAGTTAAATGCTGCACTTAATCCAGGTAGGAATTAAGCATCAGCAAACACTGCTATTGAAACTAATTTCTTCATAAAAACCTGAGCTTCAAGTGATGCATATTTTGCACTTCACACAGTAGTAACTGCCTTTATCCACATTCAAATGCTATTCTATTGCCCCTCCAAAAGGCTCTTAACATTTATTGTATAACTGCTCACTCCTGCCTGAAAATTCCTAAAATTAGTTTTATTTTGCATATGAAAATAATTAAATCAGAATTTTATAATAAATTTTCTTTATTGAAAAAGTGGACTGAAACAATGTTTTAAAAAGCCACTCAGTTCTGTGTTTATCCTGCTTAAATTGAATACATATGGTCTTTACCTAGTAAATCATTAACTCCCCCAGACATTCCTAAGTTAAAATTAATTTCTGGCTGCAAAGCCTGCTTCTGCTGGACTTGTGACCCCCAAAACGAGAACAAAAACCTGCATTTTATTTGGGCATGGACCCCTGTTCTTAACTGCCACAACAGGGCTGGAGTTATTACCTCCTGTCCAGCAACACCTGCCTTTAAAGCCCCAATTACATCCAGCCATACCCTCACTACTCCAAACTGAAGTCCTTGAAACCAGATGCTGTGTGGAGGAGAACTTGTGTGCTTGAGCTTCTCATTTAAGCAAATAAAAACAACCTTCTTAGATAGTTAGGGCTATGGGCATACTTCCAGAAATAAACCTCTTCAAGTGATGTGATCACCAAATTCAAGTTACTCCTTTCCCTTGGTGCACTTATGGCTCCTGATGAGGACACTGTGGCAGAGGGTGGTGACACTCGTCCCTGACACCCCTCCATTCCCTTCAGATGAGA